TTTTTACACCTTCAGTGCTTTATAAACCCTGTAATGCTCAAACTTGTAAAGGTTTTAATACAGTGTTGGCACAAAACATGTTTTAAAAGTAAAATCCATGGGGTATGGTTTTAAAATGTGTGATTTATAAACTGCACACAGACTGGCACTAGAATTTATTCCTATTACAAGCAAGCCCATTTTAAACTTGCTGTGACAGGGTTGACTTAAGAAACTATACGTTTTGGTTCTTTGCAAATCTGTAACCATATAAGTTTGGGGATCAAAAGTTTAGGAATCTGCCATTTTACAGGCACAAATCTCGCTTCTGACAGTTGGGCCTTATGTAGTAGATTCTGAATGATCAAGTGGCATTAGCTCCATGATAAGCATATTCAAAGAATATGTTCTGCCTCAAAATAACAACCAGCAAAGGTTATCCTGAAATAGCCCTGCAGTCAACCCCATAGAATGTCAAACCTCAACAAAGTTTCTTTATGCTCACGTACAGTGTTTGGGGTAATGCATTACAATTAACACGAGTTATGTAATCAAATTTCCTTTTTTCAAGTAATCAGTAAAATAATGCATTACATTTAAATTTACAACAAAAAAATATGAGCTACTTTTTCAAACAAGCAACTTAAGTTACTTTGTTTTCCCATTTACTGACTGACACCTCTCCTGTCCTGATGTTGAGACAAATTGGAAGTACAGAGGCGTTGTGTGCGCTGTGTAAAGAGGATGGTTATTGTAGTTCTAGAAATTACTCAACAGTTGCAGTATTCCTCAAAATGATAAAAACAGCGAAATGGAAACCTGCAATATGTTAAACAACACAAGTATACTTTATGTATTTAATCTCACTTTATTAACACACGTCTTTGCTGCTGACCTTTGACGATCCTTTTCAACCATACTAATAAGCAAAAATGACTTTAGCTAAAAATCACCTTTGTGTTTCATTAGGGCCCGGGCACCAATGATGTAAGGACCCTCTTGGAATTGCTCTGTTTATTTTATTTTATTCATTATTTTTTATTGCTGAAGTAAGAGTGTTAAACTTTCTTTTCCTGCGTCCTATTCTTCTGCAATCCAGAATGGCAGCACAGCTGAAAGGTTTGTTTGAGCTGAGCCCTCTACTGTACAGGTGTGAATTTGCATTTCCTTCAACCTGAGGCTTATTCATTTCACTTTTGGTGTGAAAGGGCCTTTACTTTTGCCAACAAAAATCAAGAAAGCCCAGCCTATGTGCCCATTGGGGCTGTGCAACGATTAATCACATCCAAAATAAAAGTTTGTGTTTACATATGTGTGTGTGTGTACTGTGTATAATTATTTTGTATATATAAATACACACACATGCATGTATATATTTAAGAAAAATGTGTTATTTATATATACAATATTTATATATAATATAAATTATATATAAATATATATACAAATATTTCTTAAATATATATATACATGCATGTGCTTTTTTATACACATACACACACTGTGTAAAGACAAACTTTTATTTTGGACGTGATTAATCGTTGCACAGCCACATGTAGCAAGAGACATTTAATGATTTTAATCTAAAAGGTTCTCATGAATGAAAAATGGATCTTCTGTGTATAAATACCCAACGCATTCTCATCCTAGGGCGTCATATTTGACATATTTTGCCATTTCGTCTACATCCAACGCACATGGCACCCTTTAGCGTCAATATGAGACGCAGATAGATATGGGTATGTTTAGGTCTGGGGTAGGGTTAGGGTTAGACCGCTAGGAGGTGCCTTCTGGCCCATATCTATCTGCGTCTCATATTGACGCTAAAGGGTGCCATGTGCGTTGGATGTAGACGAAATGTCAAAAGCGTCAGTATATGAAGCCTTGGGATGAGAACGGGCTGAAATACCATTTGTAGTATTGGTTAAAATCAGCATGAAACGGAGGTTGCGATAGTCTTTTCTTCCCTAGTGACGTACCCGAGTGCAACGCCCTTTCGAACAAAAAATATTGTAGGGGGGGCCTTGATTTTGTCCATCAGGTATTAAGATGGTTGTGGTTTGCTATTGGTCAATCTAATATGAGTGACAGGTTGTCCCGCCCTCACGCCAGTAAACACATCATCACAGGCCGGAGAGATGTCACTGTTAAGGCCTGTTCACACCGGGACGAATTTCGCGCGCGATATTCGCCGACGTTTAACACCTCGTGACTAAACAAAGGGCGCCAATGTGAGTGTGCACACCGACACGAAAAACGCCACGCGTAAAAGCGTCATTTTTTAAAAACCGCCTCGGGTTCGTTTTTTTAGTTTGACGCGCCGCGTCAAAAACTATCTGACCAATGAGATTGGCGCTTTTGCTCACGTGTCTGGAGCTTCTGAAGTAACAGTAAAACACAACTTGGGGGCGCTCAAACACAAAACGGTCTTGCCGAGCACACATACGTAACGGCGAAGAAGATATACGCCAAGTAGCGTCTACACTGCCGGGAAGAAATAAGACGAGGAAGACGCAAGGCAAGATGAATGTAGAACTGCTGGTCTCGTTGGTGTCGGAAGTCGGAACAGAAAGAACTATATGACAAACGCAACAGCGACTACAAAAATCTTGATAAAAGAGAATGTTATGGAGTGGTATTGCAGAGCAAATGGGCGCCATCTAATGTCAGGGAATGAATTTGCATGTTCACTCGGCTCATCGTCAGCGAAAATCGCTTGGGTGTGAACACAAAAAACGCATTGAAAAACGCTGCCGAATAACGCGCGCCGATATTCGTCCCGGTGTGTACGAGCCTTTGAGGAAGGGGTTCATTTTGATTAAAGATTACGAGGGCACGTGAATTTCAACAAAATTATGAGCACGGCTAATTCATTTATATTAAATACTGCAATAACAATGCCGATCTTGATTTCATGGTGACTTTAACAGCGTTCATTGTGCTGAATTTGAACAAAAAGGATGTTTTCCGAGACAAAATCTTTTGATTCAAATCTTAATTTATTGGGAATCTAGTGGTACTTTTCATACTAAAAATACCACATCACGACGTAATATAGAACATCTGATATTCTCTTTATATATATATATATATATATGTGTCGTTTTTTAATAAATTCATTCACGATTCATCAGGTGCTTTCAAATAGAAGTCTTTGTAAACTCTGTAGAAACATATATCTATCCTTCGGCCAACCCCACTGTACAGAGAGCGAGAGCTGGAGAGGATTTTCTTTAGCAAATACCTACAGTTTAAGGCTTAAATATGCACGTCATCTAATGTGTGGTTTCAGTGGATTTTGTGCATTTCTGGTCTTGTCAATCAATACTTGTGTTTGTTTGGATGGGTTGATTCAGACGTCAGCATGCGTCACTCAGTCCACCCTGCAATGCAGCACTGTGACGTAAAAAGGGCTGTTCCTCTTTCTTTCTCTCTCTCTCTGTCAGCATGTGCTCTCCGTACAGTGGCTTTAGCTCACAGTATTGCACAACACAAAGTGTCCATGTGGCCTGAAAGCGAGCAGGCACATTCAGTTCACTCCAGCTCAACAAGATGCAAAGAAAGGGGCTAGCCAGGTTATTGCTATTAAAAGTTACTAGGGATAAATATCATGGGAGAAGAAACAGACATCCAGTGTTTTCCAGCTTGAGTCTTTGTGCTTTCTTTGTTCGACTCCCTGGTGATGCCATATAGGTCACTGTTAGCAAAGAGGTAAAAAAGAGTCTCGCTTGTCGCCCAACAGTCTATATCACCAGTGTCTACTGCATGCATGCAGGAGAAAGGTATTAACTTGACATACTCGGTAAAGAACAGCCTTTCATGCAAAACACATCCAAGCCCCTATAATCCTATGGTATAATGTAATCATGTGACCTGTTGTTGGCAGGGATGAGCTGATTGGTTAGTTTGTCATGATCATGGCATGCTGGGAAAAGTCATGGCAGTGAAGCAGTAATGGGTGCTCAGGTATTTATATGATGTTTGGGTGATTGCACACTACCGTTTGAGGTCAGGATTTGTATTTTTTTTTATAGAAGGATGCAATTTTTTTTATTTGATCAAAAACACAGTAAAAACAGTAAGACTGTGAAATATTATGACAATTTAAAATAACTATTTTCTATGTTATATATTAGAATTGAATTTATTCCTGTGACTGCAAAGCTGAATTTTCAGCATCATTACTCCAGTATTCAGTGTCACATGATCCTTCAGAAATCATTCTAATCTGCTGATTTGATGCTCAAGAAACATTAATTATTATCAGCATTATAACAGCATATAACAGCATTTATTATAGAAATAGAAATGATGTTACATTATAAATATCTTTACTGTCACTTTTGCTTGCTGAATAAAAGTATTCATGTAAATGTAATTTCTTTTAAAAAACACAAAATCGCACTGACCCCAAACTTTTGAACGGTGGTATAAATATGAATGCCACATAAAAAGGCTCTTAAAATGTACAGAAAAGTTTAGAAGTGAAATTCGCATAGAAGTATGCTCATGAAATGAAACGTGGGTATGATTTTCAGCATGTTGCAGCAAATTACTAAGTATTCTTTAGTTTTCAGTTTTGAAAGGGCTGAAAAAAACACACAAAAAATAGGCTTCTTGCATGTTTTGGATATTGCTTATTATTTTATATATAATTTTTATATCAATGCTTCAAGTTTGTTCAAGTTATGGCTTGCGCATATTCTAACTATCTATATTTCATACATTAAACACAATGCTAATCTAATAATAATTATACTGCGGTTTGAGAAAAGCATGCCAATATAATAAATGTTCATTTTAGACAAATAAATCTATTGTGAAATATATGTGATTGGGCCATTAGCACTGGCATCTCAAACTATTTTTAAAAAACTATATTCAAATATGGCCTAAAATAGCTCAAAAGGAAAAAGAAAAGCCATATCACTTTGTACCCTGTGCTCTCAGCCGAACGAAAGTGCAGAAATAAAAGCAAAATGATAAGAAACCAACATTAAATATTCATTCTTTTGGAAACAAAAAAAATCTGACAGCACTTATACCTAATATAGGTATTTTTCCCTATGTCCACCATTTAGCTATTCAACAGAATATGAAATAAATGGGTCTGATCTGTCTCAAAGTGCTTTGATAATAATAAATTCATCTTAATTGATTTCCAGGCACAGCCTGACAAATACTTCTGACATAATATGATATAAAATCACACAATAAACACTTTGTTTCAAGAGAATTCTACTGACAGATGACCACGTTTAGAGACGTACTAAAGGTTCTGCCGTGTCATTGGTCAGATGGTTGGCTTCATGTATCCAGGCTTGTGCTTGCTGGCTTTGCCCGGGTCAGAGGTCAGACTGTCATAACCACAGTGACTGGAGATGACATCATCATAAACCGGCATCAAAACTGTAGTATATCAATGGTTATGTAGCATTTCGTCAATTTAAAAAAGCATGTCTTGCTGCATGTTGAAAGTTTCAGGTTTGTTGAAACAGCCATTGAGCGTCGTCCAGTTTCAATGCTGAAGACGAGGCTTTATGATGCTACATCCTGTTGTGGTGGTCTGTGTACACCGGGTTGTGCTTTCTCTCTCTCTCTCTCTCTCTCAAGATCCAGAGGAAGGCTGGAGAGGATTTCACATTTGTCGGAGAAGCAGGAGAGTGCGAGAGAGAAGCAAACCCATAAAATGAATGCTAGGTCTTCACCTGAGAATGTTCAGGATTGTCCTCCAAAGGTTTATCTCCATCACGAGACTTCTTTCTTTTTTTGTTGCCTGGAGAGTAGAAAGGGAAATGTAAAATGCCTAGTTTTGAACTGACATGAAAATCTTAAATGAAAAGCTGGCAGTCGATGGATAATTTTGCGTTTTCCGCGTACAGGCGATAACATTGTCGAAGTCATTCCCGTTCAACACAGGTCCGCAAAGACGATGACAAATACTGTATTATGTATTCCAGGCCAGTAGTTGGCATTGCCACTTTGTAAAAAAACACTACGCGCCTATAGACTTTTTTTTTGTTTTTTTTACGCGCCTATAGACTGAGCACGTAATACACATGCGCATGACATCACGGTTTTCACGAAAATTCACATTTTTGTAGTTTACACTGAGATGATAACGGTATCGGTTTCAAAAACTTGCACTTTGAAGCTCGTTAAAAGTTTGCGCTTTCAAGCTCCCAAAACGCTGTTGTTGTGTAAATTAACGGCCAAAACACATAAAAAGTTTTCCGTTTTTAGTTGAAAAAAGGTGTTGTGTAAACGGCCTTTAATAACCAGGAGAGTGAGGTTTGATTTATTGACAGTTTGATAAACTCATGTTTGAAATAAAACAAACATGAACATTACATATTATGTATTTAATTAATAAAGATAAAATATTTGATTATTATATATAGTTTTTGACCTGAATATCTTAAATGAAAAGTTGTCAGTTGTTAAATAATTTTGTAATTTTGGTCATATATGACTGATTGATCGAGACAGTGATTTAGCAAATAGGACATGGAGCTCTATTCCAAATTGAATTAGGAATGCCTTCGATTTGAAACAAGATGCAGAATTTGAATTTGAGTACTTCAGAAATATCTTACTCATAATAATTTCCAGGGGTGCGAATAGTGGCAATGTGTATTAGAGAAAAACATTTATTCAAAATGTGATTTCCCCCCACTTTCAATTGTTTTACTTCAATGTAATGTTAGATTTTTGAATTAAAGATCAAAAGGATAAATCAATATTTATTTTCACAGCTTTCTTTGCTCATATTTACCAAGGGGGCCAATAGATCTGACCAATATATATTTTTTCTTCAATATATTAAAAAAGTAGAGCATGGCACCATTAAAATCAAGGTTATATGTTTGATTCCCAGGGTCTTTTAAATAAAATGTCATTTGATTTGGATAAAAGTGTCTGCCAAATACATAAATGTAAGTAGGAAACATCATTGAAATTGATGATGAAAGTGGTAACACTTTTAAATAAGGTCCATTAGTTAACATTAGTTATCTGTATTAGTTAACATGAACTACATGTATACAGCATTTATTAATCTTTGTTAATGTTAATTCCAACATTTACTAATACTTTATTCAAATCTTGTTAACATTAGTTAATGCACTGTGAAATAACAATGAACAGCTGTATTTTTATTAACTAACATTAACAAATATTAACAAATACAGTAACAAATGGATTTCTCATGGTTAGTTCATGTTAGTTAATACATTAACTATTGTTAACTAATGACCCTTATTGTAAAGTGTTGCCATGAAAGACTTGTCGGCTAGTCAAGAAGTTTTGCTGAAGCACCAGCCTCCCACACAATCTTTTTTTTAACAGCAGGGATGATTCTTGATAAAAAAAAAAATAAAAAATAAAAAATGTTCCAGGAGCAACAAAGGCTTCTGGCCCAGAAATATGCCCTACTTGCGCAAATAACATTGTTCTGAGTGACTTGTCTTTTTTTATTAATCAGATATGTGGGCTGCAGTTTGTCTGGCTATAGTTGCTAGGAAACAGATGGAGTTTGAAAATACAGGTGTGTGTGTGTGTGTGTGTGTTCAGCTCTAAACTCAGGTGTCGTGTCATTACGGGGCGGATTTCCCAAATATAGACACATTTTGCAGCAGAGTAGGGACGGTTGTGTGTTTGATTCAGTCAAGTGATTGGCAGCTGATACACACTCAGTTTCCGGAGCAGTTTTTTCCCCAGGTTCTCATCCGAGCCTCCCAGAGAGTAAGAGCTGATGAGCTGGGATGTAGACAGGTCCGTCTCCACGGGTACGGCCGATGCATCTGAAATAGATCGGACACACTATGACAGCAGGCCATGATCACATGACAAACTGAGCTGGCGAGTGATAGTGACTGTTCTCTGATTCATTGATTCCTGATTCAGTAAGTCCTGTTAACCTCCAGTCATAACAAGCAGAGCTGAAACGGACAGTTCTGTAGCCTGATGTCAGCATTCCTCTGCAGGTCATATAAACAGAGACTAGAGCGTATGCATTTCCTCTCCCTGCAGTCTGTCAAGCATCCCTCTCGCTGTCAAACAGCTACTCCAATGTTTGAAAGTTTGGGTGCATTTACTCAGAGAGCAGACCACCACCCTTCTTAAAAGAACCCTAAAAATGAATATTGAGTCATTATTTACAAACCCAGTCTCAAGTCATTTTCTAACCTGTATACGGTTAAACGCAAGCAAGCAAAAGTATTATAACAGTAGTCCATACAACCGTACATGATTAAAAACTATAGTCAAAATTCCCCTGAAATCATATAGTATTGCAACGCTCATCCCAAAGCGTAATATATTGACTCTTTTGACAAAGCGTCTATATCCAACGCACATGGCACCCTTTAGCGTCAATATAACACGCTTCGGTTTTGGGTAGGTTTAGGTCTGGGGTAGTGTTAGGGTTAGACCACTAGGAGGCGCCATATATCTGCGTCTCATATGACGCTAAAGGGTGCCATGTGCGTTGAATATAGACGCTTTGTCAAAAGAGTCAATATATTACGCTTTGGGATGAGAACGGGCTGAGTATTGTTTGTGAAACATGAAAAAAAACACGGATTATTCTTCAAAAATTCTCTCATTTTTTGTGTCTATGGACAGCATACGGGTTAGAAATATATTTAAAGAAATAAATAGTGACATTTTGGGTGAACTATTTGTTTAGAATTTGAAAATGATTTATGAAATAATGACAATGATTTATGTTCACCTGACCAGCAGTTTGTTCCAAATGCAACTTTTGATTTCATTTTTTAGTACCTTTTATGAGGTAATGAGGTAATCACTGGTGCATAATAATATTGTCATGGTTTTGCTTCAGAACTCATCCTTCTATTCACTCACCAGTTCCTTCTTTTCTCTCCACACGATTCTCTCTTATATATGGGATGTCATCCATACGGAGGAACACAGAGTCACTGGGGCTCTTCTGTCCATCTGACTTACTTCCTACAGAGGGAGACAGAGAGACACAGTCAGCTGATCACACAGCAAAAAAAAAAAAACAAGACATCAGTTTGTAGTACTATGTCCTACAAATGTATGAGTAAAAAAAAGTATGAACAATCAAAGTTTTTAAGTCAATTTTAGGAACTGTCTTTTCACATGAAAATGAAATGGTTTGGCAAACAATTTTCTGCCCTTTGTTGACTGGAATAGCATAGGTTACTATTTCTGCAACATATGCAATGTTATGCAGTTAGCTAGTATGCAATTCTGAGTTGAGCCACATATATTGAAACGGGAAGTTTCAAATTGTTTGCTGATAATGATCTACGACTACTTTTGTATTATTCGATTAGTGGCATGTGGTATTTATAATTCTGACTGAGGAGATATTTTCATTATAGAAAGCATTTATTGGACAAAAATATATATTCATCAATTTTTTTGGTCAATTTTTTGATCCAGAGAAAGACATTTTAAATGCATATAGGCCCATATATGTATATTTGGTCAAGTTTGTTTTGACAGTTTTTATGAATACACGACCTCTCGGACAACCTCAAGCCTTCAAGCTTGGACGAAAAGCCAAACAATTTTGATTTCATTAGGATTTGAAGTAAAACTGCAATGAATTTCGGCTGTGATGGTGGAACAACGTTGTGAAGTTTGCTATCAGTACTACATGCACAGTACATTAAATATTTACAGTAGCCTTTGATATAAAAGCAAACATTGATGTGATCTTGTTTAACAGCGTAATTTGATTACCCTGCATTTGATCCTGTGTACACTTTAAGACAGATTCCATTTATTAGTGGAAACTGAACTTTGTCTCTGTTTTGACATTATAAATGATTTCTAGCTTAAGAATCGGAGTTAAAATTTGTCACACAAAGTCTGATTAGTTTTACTGCTAAGAGGATTAGAGTCCGGCCTCGGCCATCTGTCTTGTTTTGCGCTTGGAAGCTGTAAGAAACGTCTTAATTCTATTACATGTATCATCATCAACATGCATTATCTGCATCCTCGGTTTCCACAAAGATTAAAGTGTTATGCTTTTTCAAATATTAATATGTGTAATATAGCTGTTTGTGAGCGTCTACATTGCCTCGCCCTCAAACACAGTTGTTGTAGCTGAGACTGTCGACATTTTCAGTGCTGCAAATCCACTTTGCATGCACTTCAAAAGGGTGAGGACTCGTGCTGGAATTGATACGGAAAAACCAACAGCATCTTTCCTGTTTATATCACTGTGTATCAAGTGCTGAGGAAAATCCGGAGCTGAAATTCAGATGTGGTAATAGGCATTTTGTTTCCCTCATGCATTGTAAGCAGTAGACCAATCACAACAGACTGGGCTGAACATCTGGCCAATCAGAGCAGAGTAAACTCGCAGAAAGGAGGGGTTTAGAGAGACTGAATCTTCAAACGAACCGTTTCAGACTCGTTGAGAAATTAGGTGATGTGCAATGCATATTATGAGAAAACGTAAGTGTTTTTTGACCTTGAATGCATATTGTAGGGGACCTCCAAAAATTAAATTAAGAACCTTTAAAGGGGTCATATAATGCCATTTTTGTACAAGCTAATATCATTCTTTAGGGTCTAAATTAAAAGTTTGTAATATACTTTAATTAAAAATTCTCATTAGTATTGTAAGAAAACACTTATTTTACCTGGTCAAAAACAGCTCTGTTTTCAGCACGCCGTTTCAGTGCATATGACTTTAAATGATCATGAGCTTTGCTGACTCCGCCCCTCTGTTCTATGCGTACACGTTTGTAACACAATACCATAACGTGTTGTTCATTATAAACGTGGGATTATGAATTATATGGAGAACGTCGTACATAGAAAACATGCAGTAATGTACCCTGAGTGTAAACCTTAGACTCATTCATCGTGAAGCGATTTGCAAAGATATAAATATTAATATAAAGTTTAATAAAACGTAACACTCACTTCAGTTCTTCTAGAGGTTCAGCAGGAACACGAATATCTGGTACCGATTCTTTATTCAGGAGCAGCTGCTTAGCAAAACCAGCTTTATACTGACCCTCGTTTATAAAGCAGTCTGCTGAGAAATGATTCGCGCAAACATGAAAGCATTGATTGACGTTGCTCGTGGGGAATATTCCCTTCGAAAACAAACTCAGCCACTGCGTCTTCAGCGGTTAGGATTTAGGAACATTAAAATGACTGTGTTCGTTATTACACGCAAGAACAGAACACCACAATCGCTTAGACGCCATTCTGCTCATAGACAGTGCTCCAGCATATCAACAATGACCGCGCCGGTCCGCGCAGACTATGATTGACAGCTCTCACGAGCGAGGGCGGGTCTGTGTTGAAACGCGCCTATCAATCAACAATCGCGGGAGGGGCGTCCGACCGTGTGACGTCACACGGTCGAACGGCTCGATTTGAGGCAGGGGAAAACATATAAGGAGATTAAAACAAAACCACTGGATGGATTTTTATCATTATATGATGGTTGTGTACAGGCACTGCCAACACACATTTCAGTACAATCAACTTGAAAAAGTGCATGTACCATTATATGACCCCTTTAAAAGAGCACAATATGGGCAATTGATGGTTATGATTAAATTTGACTATATTCAAAATGTATAAAACAACTTTCTCAGTGTTCCTCAAACAGCCAACTTCATAAAAGATCAGAGCCTTTATAGATGAGCTCATATAGTCTGTCATATAAAGCTTTCGCTGACTGTCATCTAGCTCCAGAGTAAAAATATATTTCAGCGTCAAATTGTTTTAATATTTATTTGCTGCCTGACAAACAACTAAACAGACCTGAGAAAGTGGGACTCTATAAAGGAAAAGCGAATGCACTCACGGACTATGCGGTTTCTCTCATTGAGGGTGGTGGTGCTGTCTGGCCGTCTGTGCTGGTGGAATCGGGTCAGACAGGGCCGCGGTTCAGTCAGAGGAAGGGCGATGCTGTTGGAACGTGTCTCTGGGATTGTCATTCTCTCCCCAGAAGCTCGACTGTCTGCATCGGGTGTTTGCGGAGAGATGTCCATGCGTGTAGCTGTCAGGGCGTTCTGATAATGGTTACGAGTGATCTGGAAAGAATGACAGAAACTATTGAGACGATTTTTCAATACATATCTCATAATACTAGGTTTCTATCGTAGTATTAGAATATTTACATAAGCATTATTTATTATTATTAAAAAGTATTTGGGGTTTTTTTGGAGCAAAGAGAACACTGAAAATAAAAGTTTGATGCAAGTCCTTGGTTCATTCTCAACAAAGAAAGCTGGGTCTGGGTCATATTGCGCCTCAAAAGAAATTATATTTTGAATAAAAAAAATAAAATAAAAAATATTCCCATTATTGCAATTTCATCTAATATACCAATACAGTAAAAACCGTACTATTGTGAAATATTACAAATTTAGAAAACTGTTTTCTATTGTAATATATTTTAAAATGTGATGACAAAGCAGAATTTTCAGCATCATTACTCAAGTCTTCAGTGTCACATGATCCTTCAGAAATCATTCTAATAATATTAATATTAGGCTAATATGAATAATGGTTCTTATTATTATCAATGTTGAAAAAAGTTTTAGCTGCTTAATATTTTTGTGGAAAATGTTTCATTTTTCAGTATTGTTCGATTAAATAAATGACAGCATTTATTTGAAATAGAAATATTTTGTAACACTATAAATGTATTTAGACACTTTGTATCAATTTAATGCGTCCTTGCTGAATAAAAGTATTAATTCATAACGTCATTTATATTATTTAAATGGAAAGTACAATTGTACATTATGATCATATTTTGTACTGAATTTAATGCTAGTAAAATTTGCATTCTTGCACTCTCAGAGTCTCAGCTGCCTTCTAAAAATCAGCATCATTCGAAATGTTCTGAACATCATAGAAAGTCAGTGGAGAAAATCCCCATCCCGTGGATACACGTTTGTGACGGTATGAAACAGGGGCTGTTCTAAACCACATTTTTGAGACTGTCTTTGGTTCACTGCAGTTTTAAGGAGAAAATACTCAGCAATGGTGTTGATTGATGAATTTGAACATGGTTTGTCTTGAAGCACGGTTAAAAACACCACATAGACATATATAAACAACAATAAAACCTTGATTTTTCACCACAGGGGTTCTTTAAATTCTCTCAGCATAATCAAATGTACCTTAATGATCTGTAGGTCTGTGAGCTGCCGAACTGAATAGTCTGGTAAATACGGTCCTGCACTGATGCTCAGTTGACCCAGGCTGCCTCCGTGGATCGTGGTATCCGAATGATTGAGACCGCTGCTCCGCGATGGTGACCTGTGGACTGCATCACAGAGATTCACTTGATTATTCCTTAAATTATTGCCACAGATATTTAGACACTCCTTTCCTCAGCATATCGAGCGTCTACAATTACACAGAATTTAGACTGTACAGTATACTGTATATGTATTGTATATTTTTGTACACTTAGCTGTGGTGGAATCATTCAAAAGTAATAGCTTGACTTATTGATACTATTATAGACATTATTTTAATGCATTTTTCAAAGGTAATATTCGTTTTTAGAGGTTTTTCGATGAACCAAACTGTTGTTTTGTAATGAATTAAACACTTTTGAGTGAAATATATATGTATATTAATATGCTATTTTTAATTTGTTTATGCATAAAACAATTAAAACACTCAGCTTAAGACAAAATACACTCCTAGTAAAGATACATTCACTTGAAAGAAGTCTTATACCTGTTTGAACACTAAAATGAGTTGAATCTTGTATAGCAGAGTTAAAGCAATGTAAAAACGTTATCATAAGTTATTAATCATATAATTTTTTACAGTGTAAACAGTACTGCTTGTTTAAGGATTTTTAGACAATTTAACTTAAAATTTGGAGTGTGGACTTGGACTTGAAAATTTGGACTTTCAGTGTTGAAAAAAATGGAAAAACTTTTTAGTGTTGACAGATTGTGAGGCAATAAAACCACCACACACAGGATCTCTTTGGCTTCATTTTAGATGCCCATTTAAATGTCATATCTCATTAGCAAAGAATGAGGTCCTGGACGGAGTGTGTTGGAATGTGTGTTTGCATCTGCGGTGTGGCTTTGTGTGTCTACATCAACTGAGAGAGATGCAGAGATAAACCTCACCAGAGAGACAGACTTTGACACAGACACTTAGTTTAACTTAGATTTAACGCACATTTGTTCTGAATTAATCTCTTCGACAAGGGCTAAAGGCTCCATCCTTGGAGTTATTTTTGCATTTTCGTGACGCTAAGCTTATGAGATTTCCATCCTTATATAATAACGTGCCAATTTTTGCCTGAGTGGGCAGACGAGAGTTTCTCTCCCGCTGTAATTACCCGACTTTACTCTCCAAAGATTTACATAGCCACTATTTAGATTTTCTGCTTTAATTATCTCTGGAGAGCGTTGCTAGAGGGGTCACGTATGCTCCGCGCGCTCAACGCATATCACAGTTTTTAATTGCTCATTAATATTTTAAATGCAGGAAAATCTTCAAGATATTCTGGAAACTCAAGTTGATTTATCAAATGAGACTCATGATGTTCAGTTCCAGTGATGAATTCTGATAGTGCTCCTATTATGCTTTTTCAGATATTACCTTTCATGTCGTGTGTAAGATAGTGTTTTGTGAATGTAAAAGGGCTGCAAAGTTTAAAAGATCAAACTGCACGATAAATGCCTCCCACAAGAAAGAACCGATTCTGAACTGCCTGAAATGAGTAAGTCCAGCATTACTTCCTGCTCAAACCTAACGAATTTGCATAATGCCAGCCTAAGTTCCTCATTGGCTGTCAACAAACAATGACGCCATCATTACTGTTTGTATCACTGTGTATAAAAGTGCTGAGGAAGCATCCGGAGCTGAAATTCAGAAATGGCAATTGCCGCTTTGTTTCCAATGCGCGCTGTAAGCAGTAGACCAATCACAACAGACTGGGCCATCTGACCAATCAGAGCAAAGTAAGCCTTCAGAAAGGAGGGGTTTAAAAAGACCAATCCTTTATCGAGCCGTTTCAGACACCTTGAGAAAATAGGTGATGCTGCATTGTATATTAGGAGAATATTCAAGTGTTTTTTGACCTTGTATGGTTGTAAACATGTTATAGAAGACCTTAAAAATAGCATAATAAGCGCATTTTATATCAGTAAACAAACCTGAGGGTAGGATGGCCATGATAGCAGGTAAGCTGTAGTATGTGAACGGCCCATTTTCAAACTTTAGTCCCTCTTTACCGATCTCTACCTCGACTCGACCCTGCAGCCAGAGAGAGACGAATCACACATGTATACTGCTGAAATCAAGTTCGCATTCATGAAAACTGAGCATAGTAGCACTTTTACTCCAGTTACAGTGGGGTCCAATATTGAAAATGCTTATGTATTTCAATATAAAAGTCATTTCGGGGTGTATTTCAAAGCTCGTAGTGCTGCACCTGCAATATTAGGATGAAATAATCCACAGGCTTGTTGCGCAGGAAGAGGAAGTGCTTTGGCGATCGCTTGTTTTTCTCATCAAACTTGAGTTCCTGCAAAACGCTCGGGTGCTTGATCAGTCGCAGAAGGATCTTTTCTGAGAGATGCGTTGGCTTAAAGGGCTCTAATTCTACCAACAGGAAGGGAGCAGAGAGAATCATTGACAGTGCAACACAGCATTGTGATCTTTCACCATTTATTGATGATTTTCAATGCTGCGCCAAATGAGTATTGTCAAATAATTGTGTGCACATACTTTTGGCCATGCATTGTATGTGCTTTAAACTTAAAACAACATTTTAAATTTCATAAAACTTGAAATCCTATTAAACTTAAATTGATCATTAGCAAAGTTGACACACACTTGACTCTCTCTCCCACATCTGGGAATTGAGATTACCTGTGGCTAGAAAGCGATGTGTCGCGAGCAGAAGCTGTGGTGAAACTTTGACCTTCATTTCACTCTCTGAGAGTTTAAATATGGAGAAATCTTGCTGTTTCCTCTCATGGTGAGACACTCTCCTCTTCGAACGGTTATCAGCTGCCAAGACACAACAGCAATGGGTTATGTAGGCTTAACCGCAAACCAAGAAGCAGTAAACGAGAGCATTGAGAATATGTTTAAGATGTATAGACAGTAAAGGGTTCAAAGAAAACTGTTCAATTGTTCTCCAGGTAATTTATACAATATTTAACTCCATATAATTGAATTAAATATAATGGACATTTTCAGGCCATTTTTGTATCGAGCCTTTTTCAGCACAAAATGAGGCAAGTGAATTTTTTTTATTTATTTATTGATCTATTCAATTTACAGGAAATGTTGTGCCAAAAAGGCTCAGATACACTTGTTTGGAATTAAAATGCTCAACCATTTTGTCAGGATTAAGGATTCAGTCCTATTATTTTGTACAGAAGTTTTATTGCAAAATTGTTGATTAGGAGAAGTGACTGAGCTGGTGATGATTGTGGAATGCGTACAGGTGGTGGACCAGACAGGATTCTGGGAGATGTAGTGCTGAAGGTGACAGGGCTGGTGATTTAGGATTGTGACAAATGTATAATCTGTTATAATGCACATAATTAACTATTTAATGGCAGGTTCCCATTGTGACAACCTACCTCACTTTCTGGCTATTGGGATACTTTGTCACAAAAGGTCAAGATGGTATTAATAACTATAACTTATGGGCATTAACTGTAAAAATGTTCAAAAGTCATTTAGTCATTTAGCAGACGCATTACAAATGAGGAATACAGCAAGCGAGTCATTATGAAGAGCCAAACAACGCAATAAGTGCTCAAAATACAAGGTTTGGACATTGCTTTGAGTAGCATAAGCTAGGATTAAAGGAAAAAGAAAGGATAGAATTTTTTTTATGAGGTCAAGTGCTCACAGAAAAGATGAGTTTTCAGCTGTCTTTTGAATGTTGTCAGGAATTCTGCATTCGGGATGAAGGTGGTGATCATTCCACCAGCAAGGAACTGTGAATGAAAATGTTCTGGAGAATGATTTTGTGCCTCTCTGTGATGGTACAACGAGCTATAATAGTCAAGACTTACCTTTCCAAGCTAGCTTAAGAAATATTCACAGTAAAACATGTAAGAACCAATGCTGAGAACCAACGCATTACAAGTAACGTGAGTTATTGTAATCAGATTACTTTTTAAGTAACTAGTAAAGTAACGCATTACTTTTAAATTGAAAAAAATATATATGTTAGTTACTTTTTCAAATAAATAACACACATTGCTATGGTTTCCTATTTATTGACCGACAGCTCTTCTGTCACCATGTTGTGGGAAATCATGAGTAAGTGCAGACACGTTGTGGGCGCTGGATCATCGAAGGATCATTTCAATTATGGTGTGAAGGGGACTTGTATACATTAGCCAAAAATAGCCTAGCCCAGCCCAAGTGAAAAAAAAAGTAATGCCAAAGTAATGTAACGCTGCATTACTTTCTATCAAAAGTAACTAAGTAACTCAATTACTTACTTCTTACTTAGGGAGTAACACAATAGTATAACGCATTCCTTTTAAAAGTAACTTTCCCCAACACGGTAACCCCCCTATTTTTAGCACTGTTAATATAATTAAAAGCAATCTGTTGATTGCAGAGGACATTTGCCAGAAGACAAGTAACACAGAGTTATGGAATCCAATAAGTGTGGTAATTATTTGTAACAGGGTCGCAGTATGCATGAGGAAGCAAGTTTTCACTCAGGCAAATGCTCTGTAATGGCTGTTTAGAGAAATATATTCTTCTTTCAATTCACCATTTTTGTATCTTTTAGATGTCTGAATGTTCATCTGGAGTTTTAATAATGATGGAAAGATGAGGCCAAGGATTTGCATGAGTGCGCTGGAGAAAATTTAAAGAACAGACATATCAAAAACACCTACTGTAAAGGTCGGTTTCGTCCACAATCTCAGATTTGATGATTTCCTCGATGACGTCTTCCAGAGTGACGATGCCCATGACTTCGTAGAAAGGATCTCCTTCTCCTTCATTATTGACCCTCTGGACGATAGCCAAATGAGATTTCCCTTTACAGTGCCAGAGAAAGACATAGGAGCATCATGGCAGGTTATGCAAGTGGCATTTCATTTTATGCAGATGATCCCCATCCTCATTTAAAACACACTAAAGCTAATTTCACAAAATTGCAGTGCTATTAAATCAATCCAATAAAAAACGCTTTTATTATGCAAAGTGTGCAAAATCAATAGTCACATAACTTTAGTAAATGAAGCCCTGTCCATTTTGTACGTATATGTGTGGTTTCAGGTGCGTCTTTTGTATAGTTGTTGCAGGGGCTGAACTTTGTCGCATGCCATAAAGAGTGCTTGATATGAAGGTTCATGACAGTTCCGAAGATCCAGACCTGACCTTATGTAAACAGCGTTGAAGGATTATGCAATGGGGTTTGGGAATCCCTGCGGCTATGACGATAAAGCTGACCAAGCTAAAAACCTGGAATCTGCAATTTGCTATTTTAAGCTGCTCAGGCATTATTGGGCTTTCATTAGTTCATACTCCCCAATTTCATTAAATAATTATGATCTATGTTTCATATTGGGAAGAATCACGTTTCCTGTGTTAATATATACATTGCCATTAAAACAAAAATCATTTTTATTCAGCAAGAATTCATTCAAGTCACAGTAAATACATTTATAATGTTTTCAAAAGACTTCTATTTTTAACTAAATGCTGTTCTTTTTAACTTAATCAAGGCACTCTGAAAAAAAGTATCATGGCTTCTACAAAAATATCAAGCAGAACACTTGTTTTCAATATTGATAATAGTAAGAAATGTTTCTTGCAGCATACGAATGATTTCTGAAGGATCATGTGACACTGAAGACTTTATACTTTATACAGTAATAATACTTTATACAGTAAAGATACTGAAATTCAACTTTGCCATCACAGGAATAAATTACATTTTAAAATATATTGAAATAAAAAACATTTTTATTATCAAAATATTAGCTATTGTTTTTACTGTATTGATCCAATTTAACAGAATTTACTTGTTCTGTACTTCCACAACATTGTGATTGCCAATAGATGACTTCATTTGAATGAAATACCATTTTAACAATGGCTATTCAATGTTTAGCAGATCCGTCTGAAGAGTCCCAACATTAAAAACTATAGCTAAAAACTTTCAGCAGATTGATTTATCAATCTCATGTAATGCAAGGCATCTTTGCAAAGAGGCTGTTATTGAAATATGTAACTGTTAAATCTATATTGGCACCAACAGCAAACCAGCAGAATTGTTTCTGCAGCAAAGTGCATTATTTCATTTCACATGCAAAGTGGGCTTTTACATTAGAATCTTAAAGGAACAGCAGCAGCACAAATAAAATAAAAAAGTCACAAAAAGCTAAATTATGTTTTCATCACATACACAATGTTCCTTATATTGTTCATTGAATTAGATAGATGGACATGTTTGACCGTTGCGATCGTGTCTTTTGCAGCGTCTTGCGCATGAAAATGAGGCACTCGAGTTCAAATAAGTTCAACTTTTAAAAGACGCGCCTGGAGACCTTGCGCTTTTTCCCCATTCCACTGAAAAAGCAAAGCAAAAACGCTTTCTGTGTGAACCAGCCTTAATAAGCCGAAATGGCCAAATAAGTATTTCCATCATAGACCTTACGCAAATACAGATGTACCTTGATTCCAGGTAAGATAGGCTAATCATCTCATGTGAAACTTAATAATAAACAAGATACCACACATATGAGACAGGATACCACATTGAGCAGAAAACGGAAAAAACAATAAGCATATCTAGCCTACAAATAGACAAATTATCAACACATGTCTGGTAAACAAAAATAAACAAAATGTCTGGTCTGATATTTACTATGATTATATGATATTAACCCTCTGGGGTTGTTCGGCCCAAAAGGACCCGAATCAAATAAAAAAATGTTACAAATCACAGCTTCTTCGGAATGGTCCGAAATTTGGTGACTTTGTTGGTATTTGGTATATCAACACCCAAAAAAATTGGGGACATGATCTGAATAGTCTAAGTGGTTGTAAAAAAAATAGTCAAACTAAGGACCTTCGGGTTCAAATGGACCCCCATAGGAAATGAATGTGAAATTGTCAAAAATATGTAAACACAGATTATTCAATATGAAAACACAGACTATTCAAATAGAATAGTGTATTTGAATAGTCTAAGTGGTTGTAAAAAAAAAAAAAAAAAAATACTCACACTTAGGACCTTCGGGTCCAAATGACCCGCATTACATTGGAAATGAATGGGAAATTGTCAAAAATATGAAAACAGTTTTTTTGTGCATACAATATACAAATCAGCCAGAATGCAGAAATAAATTACTCAACGGTGAAGGGGTGAATCTCTAAAACATCAAGAGTGCAAAACAGACACACACACACACACACACACACACACACACACTCACACACACTGTATTATATATTTATAATAATCTGTATTATAAAGTAAAACTGGCACTTCAAATTACCATTTAAACCAACCAAACAAACAAAAAACAAGACAAAAATAGTCTTTGAGAATCTGTTATTATATTTTAAAAATCAACAACCTGAAAAAAAATTGGTATATATTTGCAAAAATCACTAGAATCCCCAAGCCTTTCTACAGAGAGCTGTAAATCCACTAGTGGTAAAAATGTGCTATTGCGTGATAAAAATGCTCAGTGTGTCCACCAGATGGCATCTATATTTTTTCAAAAATTGCTTTCATGAGGCCTAGGCTTCACTCTAAAATGTAATACAGCTTTGATTAAAAAAAAAATAATAATAATAATAATAATAAAAAAATTCTATTATGTTCAATGGGAAAAAATGGGTCATAATTATTGCATAAATATTAATTATAAATCATAAAATATCTCAAAACACCAAAAAAAAAACAAAAAAAAAAAAACAAAAAAAAAAACAAGTAAAAAAAAAAAGATTATGATTTTTTTTTTTTTAAATATGAATCCTGCCCTTTGGGTCCATTTGGACCCGAACACCCCAAGTGTGACTGTTAAACGAACAACAGACATTAAGCATAAATGTATCGGTATAGAATAATATTTTAAAATATCAATCATAGAAATATCAATCATTTTTTTTTCTTATACGCCATATGTTTAACAAGATTTCATCTTTAATGAGTATGAATTAATCATTTTTACTTTTATACTTTTAAATTGCATTTGTTTGGTTCTTTGTTAATTCACAAACAGTTATTTAATTTTTATTATAAAGAGGTTTGCACAAAAGTTAACTGGAAATTGTAAACATTCAACTTTGCTGGGATTAAAGGACCTTACCCTGGAAGTGTTTTGTTAACTAATATAAATATAAATGTGTTCACAAAATAAAATAAAAACTAAACTAAACCTAAAACTAACAAAACCATTAATGAAACTAACTAAAACCAAACTGAAATGTAAAGGAAATTTGGAAATATTCAAATAAAAACTATGCAAACCTATAATAACCTTGATTTCAGACGAAGAGGATTAAATGATATAATCCTCAACCTTTTGATAGAGAGAACGTAAAGTCTCTCTCTCTCTCTCTCTCTCTCTCTCTCTCTCTCTCTCTCTCTCTCTCTCACTGTGGTCTCCATGGTAGCGGTGCACACGGAGTGAAAGTGAAGAATTCTGCAGGAGTCAGGTGGAGAGCAAGGGCAATGCAGCACTCGGCACCATATACTCCTCAAAGCTGATGTGCAGGGAACCGCATTACATCACTACGCTATTATATAACACACACGCGGACCCCACACGGATGTCCCTGCGATTCCCTCAGCTGTTGTGCCAGCAAATGAACTCATTAAAGCTGGCACTATACTCTACTCATGTGATGCGTGGCAGAGCAGTATGGTGACAAACGCTAAATAAAGCACAGTGTGTAGCTGAAAATAGAAAAACACAGGAGAACTGATGAAGGAAATGCCTGTTTTCTAAGAACTGCAAGTAAATGAATGATTTATGTTAAGTGATATGGAGATAGAGATGTGTATGTATGAACACTGACGAGCCAAAACTTTATGACCACTCATAGGTGAAGCAAATGTTGTTGATTGTCTCCTAACAAGGCCACGTGTCAAGGTCTAGGTAGATTGAACAATCATTTCTTGTAGAAAACATGTTGGATGCAGGAGAAATGGGCAGGAGTAAAGATCTGAACGACTTTGACAAGGGCCAAATTGTTATGGCAAGCCGACTGGGTCAGAGTATCTCTGAAATGACAAGGCTTGTGGGTTGCTTCAATGTCAGTAAATGTAAAGTCTGATTATTCGTTCAGAATACAGTAAGAAATAAGAACTATCAATCCAGTGATGTCAACGATTTTTGGGGACCGAGCACTAAAAGATACAAGCACCTATTATATTTGTTAGATTATTAATTTATGTTTTCTGCAATGGGGTCTATGGCAACACCTATAATTCTCTAGCACCACCAATAGCTCAAAGTTTCACATATTTTCTCAACTTGTGAACGAAAGAGATACTAAATTCTTCCATTTCATTCCTTGGAGTTGTTTCAGTTTCTGCACAACTAGATATTTCGCCACTTTGATTTTTTTTTTTCTCTTCCTAAATAGTTTGCCCAATTTTCACCAAACCAGATCCTTAAAGCCTCAGCAACCTGAGCAGTAAATGTTTTTGGTTTTCAGCACCACTCTCTGCTTAAAGGTGAACTATGCGGGTTTTTTACCTCAACCGAACAGCTTCGGAGTCATTGAATGGTTTTATTACTCTTTTCGGGTTGAATGGTGGTCGTTTCGCACCCCCCTATCGCATGTGAGCGGAAAAATCACACTTGCAACTTTGAGCCGGCGGGCCGCCGGCCGCAGCATCAGGAAGTGTCGCGTGATATCAGGTCTCGCGATGTAACGAATTGCTTTAAGGCAAAAAACAGATCTGATAAAATTCTGATAAAATAAGCATCAAAGAGAAATAACCCGGCGCCGTATACATGTGGTGTTCGAGGCGCACATACAATACAGACTGCCGACAGTTAAACAGGGCGCA